TGTACCAGTATAGTGGGGGATGAAGCGCAGAATGTATGGCTTGTGTTTCGATCTGGGTCATAAATATATTGGCAAAAATGGCCAAAACAGGATTGCCCATACTTAAACCATCTATTTGAAGGAAATGTTCGTTGTTGAAAATGAAGTTGGTTTTAGTCGTTGTAAGTTCTAAGAGAGAAGCGAAAAGTGTGCTGGGGATGCGTATTAACTTGTTGGAGTCATTAATGTAGAGGTTGAGTGCAGTATTGCAAGCTTCATTGGCGGGGACTTTGGTGAAAAGTGACACAACATCAAAACTAGCCATTAAGGCTTTCGGATTTAGTTGTTCTAGTGTATATTTGAAATTGAAGGTATCTTTAAAAAATTAACCTGCAGATGTTACACATGGCATGAGAGCCCAGGCTATGTATTTCCCAAGATTGTAGTTGAAGTTCTGTGTCGTAATGTGTCCGGTCAGATCTGTTGATTACAAGGTTAGGCTGAGCTGCATTGTTGTATTTTACTTCACGTTGTTGTAGTTTCTGTAGTTGATCTAGTTTCTTATTGTGTATAGACTTCTTTTCTTGATTCAACAATGAGTTGTTTTGGTTGATAGCGCATTTTATATTGTATGTTTTGGACAAAATGTTGTACATTTGCCATTATGTTAAACTTATATTAAAGTTGTTCTTCATTATCCTTTCAAACCGTCTCCAAGCATTATTAGTCTCAAAGTGGGTTCCCCGTCATCGAATTTGAAACTAAATAATAACTCTTAAGCTAAACAGTCTTGTATATCCAGTAACTATTAATAATAATAATAATAGGTCAAAACTGCCAACACAGCAGTTGTATGTTTATCTGTGAGTAAGCTTGAATATGTGCTACTATAACTCATTAACTGGTTGTTGTATTATATTAGTCCTTTGCTTCACTGTTCGAGGTGTGGGGGTTATGGAGTTACCTTGACGGTGAGGGGGAGTTGCATTTCAAAGATTGTAACCCTAAATTTTACGCTTGAAAAACACTCACTAATACAACATAATATTATTACAATATTAGTTTTAACAGTACTATGGTCAATATAATTCAGTAAGACATTGTACATTTAATAAAGGTAATTTAATTATGGTTCATTTTGTGAAGCGCTCACCCAGACTCTCCCCCCCCCCCCAAAACAAAAGTGGCTCACGGTGTTATAACAACATTGTTGTAAAACACTCATAACTAGGAAAACCTGTAATGACAAAACAATTTTCATTTGCAATATATCTGCAATTAGTAAAATAAGATATGAATGTAATATCTACTGTTTAATACTTACGTAGAAATTTCTTCGCCATGTTTAACTACACCGTACACGTGCGAACAAAGGTTGCTGCCACCTTTTGCTATACCTAGTAAATGTGAAAAATCTGTTGTATATTTCATATTTTATATTGTAAATAAAAGTCAGTACCTTAAATCAAATTGATGGGTTAAATCAAGGCATTACAAAAAATTAATAGTCGGAGGAGAAAAATAACAGAAAAAGTTAACTAAGCAGGTAAAATAGGACCAAATTATAAAAGTTATTCAAAATCTCAAAGATTTTACCGTCATCATCCATGTTATATTAGCAAAGAAAAATAACTTCCTCTTGTTTTCTTTTTAGAAATTGGCCCGGCATGGCCAGGTGGTTAGTGTGCTCGACTCGCAATCTGTGGGTCGCGGGTTCGAATCCCCGTCACACCAAACATGCTCGCCCTTTCAGCCGTGCGGGCGTTATAATGTGACGGTCAATCCCACTATTCGTTGGTAAAAGAGTAGCCCAAGAGTTGGCGGTGGGTGGTGATGACTAGCTGCCTTCCCTCTAGTCTTACACAGCTAGCGCAGATAGCCCTCGTGTAGCTTTGCGCGAAATTATAACAAACAAACAAACTTTTTAGAAATAACTACATTCAGAGCTTCGTTAGTCCTTACGATGTGCCTTGTGCCTTAAAAATAAAATAACTAAAAATATATAGATTTAGAGAAAATGTAAATTTACAGAGAGTTGTCAGTATAATTGAAGTTCGAAAAATAATATTTAAGTTTATCATGTCATATTTTGTTCTATTCTATAGTGAGATGCAAAGAGAAGCCAGGTAAGCGTAGTTCAACTCCATTGATCCCCATATCCTCATGCGATTGTAGTATATGTTCAACCTCAGAACAAACAAACTTTTCAAGCTAAGTTATAATAGTGGTTGTGTTCTAAGAAGAAGGAGAACTATTTTCCTGATCGCAGATCGTTTTATTTGCATTAGTAATTGTGTCTTGTGTCCTCCTGATACAATCTCAATAAATCTATAGTGCAGAGCTGTTCTACATGTTTTCCACCCCTTTAAATTTAAAGTTAAGTTCGCTAAATTTATTTTCTGTTTTACTATCATAGAGTGGGTAGACTCTACATGTAGGATGGCCAAGGTACTCAGTAGGCTTAATATAAATATGCACACTAAAAAATCAACAGTAACAGAGATGATTGCTTTTCACTTTCATTTGTTTCTTCTCCAAAATAAGCCCAAAAACGAGGCAAGAAATCATTGCTAAGATACCAAACCAGAAAGTGACTAACCCACCAAACTGTTCTTCTTCTTCTCTCAGTCAACACTGCAACTATTTTATCACTAACGTTAGTTTAAACCAACTCCACTCTATCTGTTTCTGGGCGGTGCGCGTTGTAGTCGCTTAGTCGTAGTAACTAGTAGTAATTTTATAAAAGTCATAATTCAAATTCAGGAACATAATGGCTACTTCAATGTTTCATTAATAAAAGTGAGAACACTCTATGTACTACATTATTGTTCTTTTGTCTCTGAAGCCTTCAATTCACTTCAGGGTTAGTTCTACATATGCTGAAACTACATAAATATTCATATATGATACCATAAAAGGTAAGGTCTGATCGGCAGGCCACTTACTAGGAGGACTTCAATGGTCCTTCTGGTGATCCTATCTTCCATTTCTGAGTTGAAGTACCCACAGATCACCCTTTCCTGTGTCTTTTACTTGCTTAATAAATTTTCTCTTCACCTGAGGTCTTCTGACTGTGCTGATTTCATGGCCATTTCTTTGTTGGCCCCAGAAGCGTTTTAACTCTTCAAACTATTCAGTGTAATTTTCTTAGAGAGTCCATCTGTACTGATCAGCTATAGGTATAGAAATTTATAAGTTCTTTTGCATTACTTTAGGAGCCTGCAATATGAGAGACCCGTCGATGTGTTGCCCCAATTGCACCGACATTAAATACGCCACTGATTGGCCCATAGGAGAGTTTGTCAAAAATGAGCCTCTAAATAGGCATATAGTTGGCCAAAATTAGGTTATCCTTTAAGTGTTTAAGTATTGATGGTTCCAATATCTAACTTGGGTCTATACGAGAAAATGTGAGTTGCTACTTCCTATTTGTCTTGTTGAATGCCTGAAGTACTGAATGGCTATTGACTTTACTATCATAGTACATAAACTGTGGTAGATCTGAATAAGCTGACTAGATTTTTGAGGATAAGGTTAAGATGGCTCAGAGGAGGTATTTTACACCTACAGTCATAATTAAGCTTAAATAGCTTCCTGTGAATGTTTGCAGATGCCCAGTTTGTATATATCGGGTTAATATTTGAAAGATCTCTTTGCTTGTTTAAAGACAGATGTCCCGGTTCTATAAAATTCAATGCCCTGGATTTGATATACAAGACTCTAGATGCATGGGAACTCGAATCTCTTCTCAATTATCAGTGCATAACCTGAGTAAACTGACTTGATGCTTATAAATGACAGTCTTTCATTCAGAATTATTGTCTTTGATCTATGCCCCTTGTTAAATGCGGTAGTGTTTTTCTTGGTGGGTGGTGGTAAGTGTTGCGTCACTTCAATATATTATAAAGATGCCTTACTGTCATCAAATAATTGCCTGACATCTGGGCTGATTTTTGTATGAGCCAACAATGGTGGGTACTCCTCAGCAGTATATCAGATGTCATTTTGTATCCAAGTTTTCTCTATCATGATTCTAGTTAAGATTCATCAGGTATTGGAGCTAATTTCCTTAAGAAAAACAACTTTCCACTCAAATTAACAATTTTGGGTGAACCCTTTGAAAATTTTTTAAGTCTTGAGTGGCTTTCTTTTAGTGGTTATATTTTCTTGTCTCAGGCTCTTAGGAGTTACTTTAAATAATACAGTTTTCACAATGAATGAACGATTAGTTCGACTAATGAATTACCTTTTGGCTCTTTATATTCACTCACAAGAAATATAATATAAAGACACAATATGTATGCAGAATGTATACTAATAAAAGTTAAAATTTCACTAAAACACCAGTATTCAATGGATACCGAAATACAAATATATACACTTGTTACTATAAAGATTCCCCGCGGTAAACAAAGGGTAGATAGCCCGTTGTATAGCTTTGCCCAAGGAAACCAACAACAACTACATCTTTGCAAGGATATTACATAATTAAAATTATTGTTACGACAGCGGGGGTCACGTGACGCCAGTAACACGTCATATTCTCGAACGTTCACGTCCCTTCCTGAAGTCTCGAGAGGTTACTAGATATGCGGTATTCTTGTATATATAAGACCGGTAAGAAGTGACGGCAACAATGTAATGTAATGTGTAATTGAACTGCAGACAGAGATAGATACGGGCAGTTGAGTCGAGCACGTGAGACTTTCGTTGTGAATTATAGCGTTTGTTATAGCGCGACTGTGGAAATCAAGAGTATTGCAAAGTTGTATTCACAAAGAATAAACCAGTTTTATTTAAGAAAGGACTTGTATCGCTAAAGTTTCTTCGGAAAGAATTTTTACGGAAAATTAACTAACGACCAGAAACGTAACATTATCATTGTTTATTGCAAATGTGCTCGGTAGTTAGTGATTATTTTACAAAGTCTGCATTCAAATGAGAAACATTTATTAAACAGTACAAAACTAATCTTGTAGTTACTTTATTAGTTTAAACAACAGGACCTCTAAAATTATAAATGAATTGAAATCTAATTTAATCAATGAATTTTCTTTAACTGCTGAAGGAAAATATCTGTTTGTTTTAAAAAATATGAGGTCTGAATGTCTAAACCATAGATATAATCTACATTAGATACAACAGAATTCCACATACTACTCATTTCTTGCTAGATAAATGTCCGCATTCTATTCCTGTTGACTGATGTTTGCTAATTGGGCATAATCTTGCAGCGGTCATTACTTTACGATGTAGTCTTTATACACAAGTATAACAGCGTAAATATACAAGATGATGTTTAGATTAAAATAAACTTACACAACTTAAGTCAAACCTAACACATTACAGTGGGCACGGTATGCATAATTTCTTATCGTAAAGAACTTAAAGTAATTAAAAATAGTAGGTTGATAACAATTTACTCTTATTGTACGGTATAATATAAAATGTAAGCCTACACAATGTACCAAAGACATTAAAAAATGTTTGTTAAAAAAATAAAATGCTGTATTTTTTAGGTCTTTCTCTATTGCCATGAATAAAGTAACATGACTTTGTAAATGAACTAAACATCTTAATAATAACACCTTTTCTGCTTTCCTGAGTTTAATCAACTTGATGGTGTCGACGTATCTCTGAATCTCTTTATGGTTTACATTCCAATCAGTGTAGTTCGAAGCCATGCAATTCGCGAAGAAATAAAGATGTAAATATTATATGTAGATCTATGCTAAGGCAACAATTTCATATTTTAATATGAGAATTAAGAATTGTCAGTGTGTTGACGAATTTGTTGCACCGTTGTTTCTAGTTTGATGTTTAAACATACATCATACCAGTATCAGTAACATAATAATGTATTGAATAATATAATTTGGTACATTATAATACAGTGTAGGGTGTTTAACTTGCCATTCAATGGCTCAGCGGTATATCTGTAGACTTCTAAAGGTAAAAAAAGATTAAGAAAAAGAAAGGTTCGAAACCCGTGGTGGGCACATCACAGATAATTCATTGTATAGATTTGTGTTTAACAACAAATAAGCCTCCCCAGTGGCACAGCGGCATGTCTGCGGACTTACAACGCTAGAAACCGGGTTTCGATACCCTTGGTGGGCAGAACACAGATAGCCGATTGTGTAGATTTGTGCTTAACTTCAAACAAACAAATAAACAAAGCCCAACTAATTGTACTTTATTCTAATGCCATTACACGTGATGCATGAACATGATTGTGATATATAAATTGCTACTGTTACGTATCTACTTGTTTGTTAATTTATGGTAGAAATTATTTCCGAGGAACTTCAGCGATACAAGTCTTTTCTTGAT